CTAAGCAGTGGAGTTCAGATCTTGTCCCTATTGCTCGAACTTGCTTTGATACCAATTGATAAACAATTTGGATAGAATCTGCTTGTTTTATTGATGTTACTAACTTTCGCGAGGTAGTATCTCTCTTAAAAAAACTAAAACTATTTACAACTCCAAAATGCCCTTCTCTACTATACCTAACCTCTATTTATACCAGACTCAACCTTCTTTCTTAGCTAACATGCACCTAAAAACCTTCCAGTCCCTCCAACCCATTTATACAGAACTTCCCTCAAATCATCCACTTGACCTTTAATTGGTTGACTTAATTAGTTTACTTAATCTTTTTTTGACTCTTTGCCTATTTTAGTTTGATATAGGAAGCTTATCATATTCTAAGGGGATAATATCATTAAAAAACCTTAAGTTTGGCAGAAAATATCGGTTTTACCCTTCGACAGATTTTTGGTTCATTTATACCGCAAACTTGTCATTTTTTTGTCGATTTTGCCCTTGTTACCGGCAATAGCAGGTTTCCAGGTTACTATGAATTATTTTTTGCGAAAAAACCCTTAAGTTTACAAATATTTTGCAAAAAAAACCCTTCAGATTATAAACATATAAAACATAAATATATATTCAAAATTTTATAAAACTAAATAGTTTTCTACTGAAACATATTTTTAGCTTTATGTACGGTAAATTTTATATTTGTTCAATATAAATTTTTATATTTAAATTTTAAAAAAGATACCTAGTTTTATCAAAATTTAAATATATTTGTTAATTAATACTTAAAATTTTCCAAGCAACATTAAAAAAAGTCTGTTAGCTAATAATAATATGATATTAGTTACATTCAATTAATTTTTTTAAAAGAAAAATAAAAATATTTTATATGTTTAAAAGGTTTGTATTTCAGAAATAATAAACTATCATATTTTTATAAAAATAAATATATTTAGATAATAAATTAGACAAATATATTTATATTTTATATGTTTAAAATGTTTATATTTATTTTTGATGTTTAAAATCCTTATGATATTTTTATAAAAAAAATATATGATAATATTATAATGTATTTAAACATATAAAAAATATGATATGTTAGTGTTTATGAAATACAAACCTTTTAAACATATAACATATTTTTATTTCTTTTTAAAAAATTAATTAAATGTACATGATACCATATTATTCATATTAACTATTTTAACATAATTAATTATTAACTAACAAATGTTTTTTAATTTTTGTTTTGAAAAGCTGAAGTATTAATTAAGAAATATATTCAAATTTTATTAAAACTAGATAACTTTTTTAAAATTTAAATATAAAAAGTTTATATCAAACAAATATAAAAGTTACCGTATGCAAAGCTAAAAATATGTTTCAGTAGAAAACTATTTGGTTTTATCAAATTTTGAATATATATTTATATTTTATATGTTTAAAATGTTTATATTTATTTATGATGTTTAAAATTTTTATTATATTTTTATAAAAAAAAAATGTTTATAATCTTAAAGGTTTTTTTGCAAAATATTTGTAAACTTAAGGGTTTTTTCGCAAAAAATAATTAATAGTAACCTTGAAACCTGCTATTGCAGGTAACAAGGGCAAAACCGACAAAAAAATGATAAGTTTGCGGTATAAACGAACCAAAAATCTGCCGAAGGGTAAAACCGACATTTTCTGCCAAACTTAAGGTTTTTTATGATATTATCCCTAACCTGGAAACCTGCTATTGCAGGTAACAAGGGCAAAACCAACAAAAAAAAAAAAAAGGCAAATTTGCGGTATAAACGAACTAAAAATCTATCGAAGGGTAAAGCCGACTTTTTCTACCAAACTTAAGGCTTTTTATGATATTATCCCTATTCTAAGCAATAACAAGATCATATTAGACGATCTAAAATAATATTTTGAATACTTCCAACATAACAAACTCCAAAAATTGCATCGTTTATATTTATCATTATAAATCTACAAAGGTAGATAGAATTCTAAAAATTTTAAAATTTCATTGTAAGCAAAAAAAAAAAAAAAAAAAAAAAAAGTCCATTCGTGCACCTCTAATTCTAGGAGTTGCATAATAGACAATATAACATGAGTAAACATTGGGATAAGATTAAATCAACCTTTATATTACGTTGCATTTTTATTTTAACTAGTAAAAAATCGTGGGCTTCGCCCCGTGCTTTTTTTTTTTTTTTTTTTTTTGTTTGTAACATCATGAAAACAAAAGTCATAAGTCATAGAAAGATTGTGTTTTTTAGAATGCAACTAATAAGAGATTAAAAGTGTAAAAATTTGGAAAGTGGTTTTGTAAAATAAAGGTCAACAAAAGTTACTAAGAGAATAAAAGTAAAAAGTGTAAAAATTTGGAAAGTGGTGCCACAAAATGATATTTCATTATTATGCTTTTTATATTAAAATTAAATACTTAAATTTATAGCAGTTGGTATAAGCCTTTAAAGTCAAAGGACCGAAGGAGACGAATATAAAAAGTTTTGTAGCCAATCTTCAATAACCACAAATCTACTGTTCCTAAGTTCAATGAACTTTTATATTATATATAATACCATTTCGACTTTATTTCATAATACAAGGCACACGTGTTTAGTTAGAGTACACACCAATGAAATTGGTGAAACGAGACCCCACATAGAGCTTTCCATTCCGTTCTTGAACCAAACTAACTGGCACATTAACATATTCTTTAGCAAACGACACCGTTTGCAACACCACCCCATTTGAATCGAACCGCATCCCTTCAGGTAGAATGACAGGCATTCTTGGAATATATCCAACCGAAATTCCAACCCAAAACTCACCTAATCTTTCTGCTCGCTTTATTTTATTAGGATTCCCTGTGGTATGTATCAAAACTTCCACCGTATTTGCTTTGGGCCCCACCAACCAATATTTAGAAATCCGATTAGCATTAATCTCAGGTACAAGAACAAATGTACCATCCGCACTCACGGCAGGACCACCACCGCCAGAGAGACCACTCAGCAAAACTGACACCTGTCTGGTAAATGGGTTGTAATGCAATAACCTCCCGCTTGAATCCGGTTGAAATCCTGGTTTGGTAATATCTCTGCACCATGTAACATTTGGCTCATATTCCATTGCAATATCATATTTTCATTTAATCTACAACATTTTACTGTTAAAATTTTACTTAATTATGGCCTTTTTGTGTTTGGATTAAAAAAAAAAGGGATTAGAATGCTATAATAAACAAATAAATGAGTATACATTGTTAATTTTTACAACAAAATTAAAGTTAAATTAGTTACCTAATATCATAAGTCAAACTACCATCACTGAAATAAACATTTCCTGTTAATAAGTCAATGTCTATGCCATTAGCATACTTAAATCCCCCCACAAGTTGAGTTGCGAGCCCGCCAGTGGGGCCCACAACTAGAAGTCCCTTAAATGCATCAGCTATGTAAAGAAGGCCGGTTATAGGGTGATAGCTAAGTGCAATTGGTCGTCCACATATTGGTCCTTTCTCTGGATCTGTTGTACCATCACAAAATTGTTTTGTCCTGAAAAAAAAATTCCATATAATATTAACAAAAAAAAATGTCACATACACAATGACCATGTGTTATACTTCAAGTGTCATAAGTTTAATAAATTATACATAATAATTTGAAAAATACCTTGTTGGTGAAGTGTATGCGAAGTCCACAAACCCGATGGTAGGGCCTGCCCATCTTAAAATCCTACCATCAGTGATGGTTGTGAAGGGCCCGTTGGCTAGAAGTCCACCAAATGTGACTGAGCTAGGGCCGGTGACACCCGGAGGTAACACTAACTTATTAAAGTTAGTAAATTGACTAGAAACATAGGTTTTAAAAGCACAAAGAAATATGACCAAAATGGAAAGCATGTGGTATTGCATTCGTGGAGAAGCCATATTTGGATATATGAAGGGAGCAATGAAAGAGTATTGCACAAAGCTTCTATTTATATACGAAAGATATGCATAATTAGCCGTCGTGTTCATTGGGAATGGGTGTCATAACGGCCAGCATGTGATGTATTCGCTAGTCGCCACCATATTGAGAATAAAATACTTTCTAATTTAAGGAAAAACCCAAAAAAATTATCTTATAAAATTTACTTATGGGTTCATATTTAAAATAAGTTTTTTATATAAAGATTAGAAGTCCGGAAACAAACGGATGTGTTCCATAAAACCTTAAGGTTGAGTTTGGCATTTATAAGCTAGCTTATTGCAATTTAATGTTTGGTGAGAGCATAAAAACATTTAATAATAGCTTATAAACTAACATATAGACTAACTCGTTAACATATAAGCTAAATGTTCGTTTTTCAGCTTATATCTCACTAGGCCCAAGCCTCAACTTGTAGTGTTTTTAAAGTTTTTTCTCTTTCAAATTATGTGTAACATACAACGCAAATTATGAAAATCTTAAAGCTACTTAAATAATGCACTAAAAGATATAACATGAATTCTAAAGTTAATTATACATAATAAAAAGAAAATTCCACAAAAATCACTACCATTACACAAAAATTTGATTTTATACTGTGTTACTATATTAACTAGGGTGTTTGCATCGCGGTTTAGACTCAAAACCGCTAACAACACTGCATCTGCGGTTTGAGCTTTTCGGAAACTGCAAACCGCACCGTGAAGATTTTAAACCGCATTATACGTTTGATTAACACTAATATCATGTGACTTGCATATAAACTTCTACATGATTAAATTAATTAATTAGCACCATTAGAATTAGTTTGATCATTAAACATGTAAAACTACATAACGATTATTGGATTCGTTGTTACTCTTATCAAATGACCAGTGTATCTTGCTTATCTTTGCTATAGCATGTAAAATATAATTCTACTAAAAAAATCATTGTTATCTTTAGATATAAACTCATATTAAAATTGTTAAACAGGAAGCATTACTATTGACCATTTTACTAGAGATGATATAATGACATCAAACCAAGCCTTACATCTCATTAACAATAAACAATGGAACTTGAATTGGAGTGATGAATGGTTAGTTTCAGTTTGTTTCCATTAAGAACTTTTAGATCAGAATTCACATCTTCTACTTCAGCCTCTAAAGCAATATTCGCCATTTTACCTTTTTTCAAATCAAATTGGATCCATAACCAGTTATATATAGTTTCAACTTTTTAGGTCTGAAATCAGTTTTAATGGGTAATTAAATTTTACATAAAAAGTTGATTTCCTTGTTTAAAGAGAAGATAGCTTACCATATTATACTCGCATCAAGTGTTGAAACCTGGAAGAAAACCTTCAATTTCTTGTGAGTCTGCATTCGAGAGGCCTACAATTATTATTATTATGATTATTATTACTAATATTATTATATAATAGAAGTCAGAACACCATTTCCATTTCCATTTCACTACCAAAAAACATATAATAGAATTTACATTACCATTTCCACCAATTATCCTTAACAAATCCTCATTCCATAAACGCACTTTCTGATGTTCACTTTCATCTTCCTTTTCTGTCTTTAGCTTCTCCACTTTCATGCGTAATTCTATTGCAAGTTTTTGTAGCTCTGCAACAACCAATAAATATATTTAATGATTTGTAATGTTGTTGCATTTTATTTTAAATCTTCCAAGAAAAATTACGGGACAATTTACAGAAGAAGCAAGGACATTGGAATGCATCATTCTCAGATAGCTTTGTTAATTCACTAATTAAAGCTGCTTGATGGTTGTTAATAGCAGATTGTCTTTCCAATGCTTGTATCTCTCTCTTCAATTGAACAGACTCCTGTTCAGCCTTTTTACAAAACACAAAACTTATTATTTATCAAACATAACAAGGAACAATATAGATTAACATAAGTAATTGCATACTACCATGGTTTTAATTGTATTACCAAAGTAAGTTTTGTTCTCAAGGAATCCAAGTGTGCATCAAGATCAGGGTTACTAACAGCATCCACATCCATTACATCACTACCAGATTCCTCATCCTGAAGACATATATGATACAACAGATCAGATATTGTATTGAACTTTAAAAAAAAAAATGTTTAAATGGATCAGATTTTTGGAATATGTTGCTCCAATTACATAATATGAGGTAAATCCTATCCATATAAATCAAATAATTGCTAACGCAAAGGCAAGCAATAACAGAAGTCTATACTCTACCTAGATACCCTTACCTATACAAATTGTAAATCGTTTTTCTCCTAAGTGGAAGCATGAAATGTTTTCAAACTAAGTCGAGCTTCTAAGTTTTTTCATCACCATGCAGATTGTATCTTCACAAAGATATGGGCTATTGAAATGTTCATATTACTGTTTAAACAAACCACGTAAGTTATTAAATGCGACGTAGCAATGATTTAGAAGAACGAGTCAAGAGACGCACATCTTTTGGCAGTGAAAATCCTTCTGGAACCACAGACAAACGTAGGAAACAATAATTCTCCCACATAGTCAAGCGCTTGTCCATGGAAGATTGAATTGTGTTTCGGATATAATCCAAACCCAAATTGACAATCAGAATGGTACAAAACCGTTTAGCCAAATAATCAACAGCCTGTGAGCTTAAATTCATATGCACCAACAGTTGCGGAGGCGAAAACCAAAGACAAAAGGGAGTTGGAAAACAAAAACAAATGGTAGAGCTTGGTTAAATCCTCCGCCATATGTAACATCCGGATATCCAAGTATGGGAATTTGAGTAATTTATATTGGGGAATGAGGAGACTCGGCGAGTACACGCCTCAACTCGTCGAGTAGGATCGCGTTTTGGGGACCAGTTTAATGAAGGGACTTGACGAGTCGGCGCTGTCAAGGAAAACCCTAATTGTCCGGGTTTGGGATCTATCTAAAGCCCCTTATGGCTTTCAGTGGCGGCCACCTACACCTTTGAGAGACTCCTATCGAACCAGAGAGCTGAGAGAGTGAACAAGAGCCATTTTGGAGCATTCTTGAGGTGGTTGTGCAATGGAGTAGTCATTTCCAGCAAAGGGAGGTCAAGGGGGTGTCGATTCAGAGCTTCTGAGCTTTCATCTTCACCATAGAGGTATCAAATCGTTCTCCCTTTTCTGTTTTGGGTAAGATTGGTGATTTTAGGGTTTTCTAGCTTCTTTTATGGCTTGATTGTGGAGTATAGTGTCCCATTGAGTGTGAAGCCATAGATCTGGACCCAAAGAGGTCTAGAGAGTCCCTTCCATCCTGCTTTATGCATTCTATTTGGAGTTTTAAGCTAGGGTTGTTATGTAATGAAGGGTTTCACCCAAATGAGCTTGTAGAACCTTGCATGAGTGCCCAAGGTTCGACCTTTTCATGGTTATTGGCTTTGAGGGAGTTAGATCTATGGTTTGGTGAAGCAGATTTGACCTCAGAAGGTCAGATGAAGGATGGGAGCAACTCGCCGATCCCATGGGCAGACTCGACAAGTCGAGTCAGGGTTGCCCCGCGATTCGTTGCCGAGTAACTCGACGAGTGGAGAGGGAACTCGTCGTGTCTAAGAGGTTTAAAAAGGATTTAGAGAACCCGCATGGACTCGCCGAGTCACTCTTGTGTACTCGCCAAGTCTGGTCAGTGTTGACCGTTGACTTGAGTTGTCTCATGTTGACTTTAGGAGTTTTGGTCAACAGAGGTAATAGAGGTCAGGGAGGGGTAAAATGGTCTTTTACCCATTACCTGACTAGAGAGAGAAAGAGTAATCGCCGGTTAATTAGAGTTGGGACTTCGAGTATTAATTAGAGATATTTGCCTTATGTGTTAGGCGGTGGCGAGTCCGAGGTTCGCATGTGCAGATAATTGCTTTCTGATTGTCAGGTAAGTCTTCTCACTATACTTTACCTTGAGTAGGTAACCAGAGTTATGTGACAGAGTATTTCTATGCTATGTATGTTATGTGTTGTACTGCATTATTTCTATGTGATTTATGTTGTGCATGTTTACAGAGTTAGGACCGGAAGGTTCCCAGAGTTAGAACCGGAAGGTTCACATAATTAGAACCAAAAGGTTCACAGAGTAGGGTCCAAGGACCCACAAAGTTATAGCCTCGAGTGGCTAATATGTGTTATGTGTGGTATTTTGGGGAACTCACTAAGCTCCGTGCTTATAGTGTTTTGTATTATGTGTTTTAGGTTTCTCTCAGGATCACGGGACGGCACCGGCTCGATTGTACACACCAGAGAAAGAGTCACGTTTTGAGGATCCTGGTTTATTATGCAAGTGAAAATGGAGTTATGTTTTGTAATTCGATTACGATTGGGATTTTAAGAAAAGTGTTTTTAAGAATTAAACAATTATTTTTAAATGAAAAATTGTTTTGAAATTACGGTGTTACAAGTTGGTATCAGAGCCTTGGTTTGATGGATTCGGATGCACCTTCGGGTAAATCTGGACTGAAACTGAGGATTTAAGACAATTTTTTCAAAAAGAAATGTGTTTTTATAAAGCGAATAAGAGTTTCAAAGAGAAAGCAAAAAGAGCAGTGTGTACAATCAGCTAGAGCCCGAACGGTGATTTCCCAAAACACCCTTATTTTGTGTTATGAGATATTTGTGATACATTTTATGAGATATTATGCATGCTAGAGGCAGACTAGGCAATTCATATTTTAGGACTAGAGTGGCCTGATTTGTGATGAATTAGCCTAGGGTTGCTGATATATGTGATGTGCTTTCGAGTACGTGCTGAGGGAGAGTGTCCAGGTGGAAAAAAAATTTAGGGGATTCGAGTAAGGGAGTAATAGGGAAGAGGTATCTATATGAGCATATGAGGAGCTTGCTGAGAGGGTAGCCAGATGCCCACGTGGGGTGGAGTTGTTAGAGTTCAGTGATAGCCATCACGTGTGAGGAAAGCGAGTGGATAATAACCTAAGGAGGTTTTTCGTGCTGAAGGGGACGCTTCAATTCCCGAATGCTGATTGCTTCGTGCTTTGTGGAGCTCTCAATGATGGGAGTCAGCTACTAAGTGAATATGACGATATTCAGGAGGTAGATGGCTGGCATCATTAGGAGCTCTCTAGCAGCTGATGGCAGAAAAGTGTGGGAATCTAGGAAGAGCCTAGGGAGTAACCTTAGCCAGATGAGTGTGCTGGCAGAGTAGAGAATTTTGCTGGGGAGCGAGCACGCGCGACGGGATTGGTGAACGAGAAGGTGGAGCAGCTACTTAGGAGCTCCGGGATAGTCCGTGTGGAAAGTATGGTTAGATGTGGTAGGTAGTATGGGCCCGTACTACTGAAAGCAGAGGACCCATACTTGATATAGGGAGTATTTTGAAGGTTCTAATGAGCGGATTGAGGAGTGATGTTATGGTTCGAGTACCATACATGGGAGTGGATTGAGGAGTGATGTTATGGTTCGAGTATCATACATCGGAGCGGATTAAGGAGTTATGTTATGGTTCGAGTACCACACATCGAATCGGATTGAGGAGCGATGTTATGGTTCGAGTACCATACATTGGAGCGGATTGAGGAGTGATGTTATGGTTCGGGTACCATACATCAGAGCGGATGGAGGAGTAATGGTTATGGTTCGAGTACCATACATCGGAACAGATGGAGGAGTGATGCTATGGTTCGGGTACCATACACCGGAGCATATTGAGAAGAGATGTCATGGGATGAGTACCATGGTTCATAGTGAATGATGCTTGTGGTTCTCTGGTTATCCAGTCATGATTGAGTTCGAAGATGCGTCCCTTGAGAGGGGGGTCGAGAGCCTTTTAGAGTATTTTGGTAGGGAGTCAGAGGGTGGGGAGAATTTCGGTCTGAGTTGAGCAATCAGTCGATAGAGGAGATGTCACCTTCTATGACCTGGGTGGTGTTATTTATGTTCGTGTGCGAAACATGAGAGGCATGATGTTTAAGTTTTGGGTTTGGGGGGGGGGGGGGGGGGGGGTAAACCCTGCAGATTGTCATTGATGATGATTTTCCACCAGAGTATCAGGTAGCATGTGTGCCGCGAGGCAGTGATTTATCATGAGCAGATAGTCAGTTGGGACTGAGTTAGTCGAGGACCACGTTACTGATGGGTTTTCTACAAACAATCCTATGTGTACATGCAACCCTAGCATTGGATCTATGTTTTCACTATTAGATACACAACATTATGAACACATAATAAAACCCTAAAGATGATTGCTATTTTTCGAAATTAACCAAGAAGGTTAGACTACATACCTCTTGTTGTTATATTGTAATAACAACTTGAATCTTCAAACCCTAAGTCTTGAAAGCAAGCACCACAAGTGTAGTGCCCCTAATGGCTCACAAACACCAAGAGCAATTGGAGAGGCTATAGAGAAAGAAGGAGAGGTATAAATTTCGTCCCTAAGAAGCCTTGGGAAGGTATGGATGAATTCATGAGCCAAAGGGGTGTTTATATAGGTGTAGAGATAGGGTTTCAGTCCTTATCCTTATCTAGTTGCTTTCCCACCAAGCAAACCATAAGATAAGCCTTGAATCCTTATCATGGACAAATTCTAAGGCCTTATCACCTTAAATTCGTCCAACCTATCCTTAGGATAATCCTTACCCTATTTTGTAACTATCACATAATTACAATTCAGCCCCTCTAGTTTAATTAATTACATTTGATCACAAAATTAATTTTTAATTAATTATTGACCAATATTAATTAAACAAATATGATTTCTCCTTTAATATATTATTCTTATAACATATTAATAAATCATAATAACCTCTCTCTCTCTCTCTTTATTATTTCTCCAGTTAAGTTGCTTTGGTGAAGGCAACCCAAAAGGACCATGCACAATCGGGTCAAGTACTTACCAATTATTGTTACAAGCTTAAACACTAATCCAACAGTCTCCCACTTGGATAAGTCTAGTAACTATAAATGTAAGTACACCTCGATTTGCAATCGTAGCTCTCAAAGACATTATCAAACTCTGATCTTATCAGTAACCTGTCCTTCAGATAAGGGATCATATATTCCTCCATTCTAGATATCGTATAGACACGAGACATGGATTAAAATCATTCTCTCAGTCTATGTGTTGTTTCTCGATTTCCAATTTACGATGACCGACTAATTGAACAAATCAAATTAGCCCTAACCCGGCCGAGCATTTACGTTTGTCATCACTAAATCATCGAGGAGCCCACAGATATCGCTTTTATCCCACTCTGGGTAAAAGGAACGGATAAACTTCGACTTAATGTTTTCTTGCACTCATTCACCAAATCACACACAACATTAAGTTTTATAACACCGAGTTACTGGTGCATTTACATATTATCAATGTGCAACCGATTCGCAAGATACAACTCACACATCTTGGTTTCAAGAATACAAGATATTATCGTCTCACCAATCGCTCATGATAAAATCCATGAAGCGATCCAAGTGAACGTGGGTTTAATCCAATGCTCAAAATCATATTCATAAGCACTCATGAACGATGTAGCAAACCTTTGCTATGTCTAATACGCTTTAGACAATCTACAACCAATTCATGACAGTCTTCATTCATACATACTTCCAATGTATGATTAACTGTGGTCCGTTTGAATAATTTGATTATTCTTGATAAACTCAATTATTCTGGAAGTCAAAACATGCAAAG